TATACGGCTCTGGGATGCCCATAGATGAGAGTAACAAATGCGTCACTTCCGGGCAAAAATAACGGCTCCGCCCACTTTTGGGGGAAAACAACGCTGTCAGTTGAACGGCGGTCAATACAAATTCTGAAGTTTTTGCCAATCCGATCAGAAATTCTAGAAAACCGGAGATGTTTGGATCTTCAAAGAGCCCGATTACAATGGCCAGACAGGCAAACTATTACATTAAATCATTGGAAAACGACGATCGGGCTGGTTAAATTAAAAGCTGGTTAAATTAAAAGCAGCAGGCGGGGCTGTCATTTCGCCAGCTGTTGTGCGAGGCGGAAAATAATTGTTTTATGATGCCAAAAAGCTGCTGTGTCGTGTATTGCACCTCAAACATAAAAAAAAAGAAAAGAACAGTAAAAGAAGAGCTCTGTGGCTTCAGGCTATTCACAGAGAGGACGAAAATCACAATCAATGGGACCCGGCCAGTCAATACGTGCACGTCTGTGGTAAACACTCAGGGTCGGCGTCATGGGGGGTCATTCGCGGGCCATGCCCCCCCAAATGAGTCACTGTGCCCCCCCAACGCAGGGTGGGCAAGCCTTGTCACTTTGCCGATTTTTTCTTTTTTTTATCATATAGTAAAAAGTGAAAACGTTTCCACTAAAGGTTTTTTGTGTGAAATACATCAGAAATAAAGAATACAAATATAAAACACAGCCTGAGGTGTGCTCACTGCTGCTCTCTGATTGGTGTGTTGCTTGACCAATGACCCCCGACCTTTTTTTTGTTATCATTACGTGGCTGAGTGTTTAGATGAAAGCCCAGTGGCGATCTGTTAATCTGTTACACTGATTATACAGTAAAGCCATCAAAAATAATATGATATACAGTACAGTACAAGTACATGGGTCTCTGTGTTTCATTCAAGCTCTGTGTGTGTGTGGCACGAGCGCATTTTGTGAGTGCGCGAGCGGTAACGTGGAATGTTGTGGTTAGCATCTGGTTAGCTAGCTATGCTAACGGATATAAAGGGCTGTTTCTACACCAAGGTGGAGGACAGTCCTCTCCTGTCAGACTGAGAGGATCTTATAACGTCAGCTCAGTGAGGTAAGGACTCTCTCAGTGTTTAGATAGTTCACTTTAGTGTAAGTTATCTCAGTGGGTCTCAAACGGTTTTGGTCACCATTTATGTAAGTATTTTCGAGGAATACCTTTATATGATCATTATAGTTATTAAAGAGAGAATAAATGAAAAACGGGTATGAAATACTATAGGACAGTAACACAAGAATACAGTTTAAAAGGGGAATGATTAGTGAAATATCCATAAAGAAAAAGTAAATCTGTGTACAGTTCTGTTTCATATGGATGCTGAGAGATGTAGGCTATCCATAGATCTCTTCACTTTGCTCTCAAAGTGCACCAGATTGATGCATTTAACTTCAATATTTTAAAAATAATCTTCCCGGGGGAGCATGCCCCCAGACCCTCCTAGAGGAGGTTAGGTCCACCCCCACCTAAAACATGTTCACATGGATAGGATACTAAATACATTTGCACACTTTTTATATGATGGCCAGTCCATATCAAATCAGATCAAGTTTTATTTATATAGCACATTTTTCAACGATTTTTGGTCGAGCCAAAGTGCTGTATATACAGTATAATACAAAAATAACCTACAGTAAAGACACTTTAAAGCAAATACAACAGCACAGTTTGTGCAGAATATCAGTATGAGAAAACGACACCCTCTGTCCTTATATGTTTCTGTTTTGGTGGTCGTGCCACAACCGTGCATGTATGCACAAGTCATAGGTGCACTATACAATAGCACTACACCCCTGCAATGTGTGTGAAAGACAATAGACTTTACAGCATGTTTTTTTAAATTGAAGTTGGTGTTTGTGTGTTGGTTGTTGACGGCAGTGTGTGCCCCCCCTTGGTAAATGATTGCCCCCCCATTCAAGTTGTTCTAGAGCCGACCCTGTAAACACTTCATCACAGGTAAATGATGATGCTAACGAGGCTAATATCAATCGTTGAAGTAAATAGATGTCATGTTAAAAGTTTAAGAAGTGGAAGTAGATGCTGTATTGAAATATAAAAAACGGACAAACCAAGGAAATTAGCCTGCTGCCTGTACACACAGGGTGACATTAGAGAACAGCCCATTTGGCTCAAACTGAAGCAAATTGATCAATTCATTTAAAAGTTCAAATTGGTGAATATTGAGCGAAATGGGGGGGGGGGGGGGGGGGTTATTATCAAAACAGTCATTATGGTAATTATTTTATGATCTACATATTTTATAGGCGCAGTGAACTTAACCAAAAAACTGTCAAGTTTGTCTCTGTATTTGGCTAACACCTACCTTCATGGTTTAAGGATACCATGTGAATGACGGCGAGCATCCAGATTATGTTCCATCCATATTCCCACAACGACCATCGTCAGAAGGCTCTAAGAGGCTAAAGCGATACCAAAGGAGAGATGCTGTTTCTCAGCATGAGGTCCTGCCAGCAAAAAGGCAGCGAATAAAGCCACCTACAGAGGCTTCTCCTACTGAAACCCCTGAAGATTTTGATATAGCTTATCCTGAAGCCCCTTTCACTGAGGATTCACTTCCTCAGCCCTCTGATGATTATGAACTGAGTGACACGCCAGCATTACATAGGCAGCAGGTTTCCATTGCCATAGAGGTTGCCAATCTCAGGAGAGAAAGAGATGAGGCAAGAAGAGAAAGAGATGAGGCAAGAAGAGAACTCCAGAACTGGTCTAAGGAGCGTTTGTCTGTTCATGCTATTAAAGGAAACGACAGTGCATGCAGGGCCATGGCTGGGCTCAGCTGGTCAGTTTTTGACTGTCTTCACCGATATTTAGTTCAGTTCATCAAATCATCACCAAAAGGTTTTAGATTGTCTACCCAGGACCAGCTCTTCCTTTGCTTGCTCAAGCTACGCCAAAATCCATCGATTGCTTTGCTGAGCCAAATACTACACAGACCAGAACCCACCGTCCGCCACATATTCCAACGTTGGCTGAATCTTTTGTATGCGAAAATCACTTTCCTCATTCACTGGCCTGACAGGGAGTGCATCACCCAAACCATACCACCAGTGATGAAGGCCAACTTTCCGCGCCTCACATCAATTATAGATTGCTTCGAGATCAGAATTGAACATCCAAAAGCCCTTAAAGCCAGGTAAAGGTGCCAATATTTATGGGTTAGCCAGGTAGCTTTGACAGTGTTCGTACACAGGTCTGAATAAGTAATACGAATGAGTTTGATAATTTACAGGTCTTGTTTTTTAAATGTATGCTCAGATAGAGGGATGCTCATTGTACCCAGCCGCTGCATGCATCATATCAAATATTAAATGTATTATTGAAAACAAATAAAGGTCCATTAAAGGTTTGAAATCTTAAACTTGAAAATGAGTCCTGTTCATCTAACCGTGTTTTTGTTTCTTCTTTTCAACAGGGCAAAATCATACTCTAATTATAAGAAGTGGACTACAGTCAAATATTTCATAGTGTGTAGTCCTGCAGGAAACATCACCTTCTTGTCCAAAGGTTGGGGAGGAAGAGCATCAGATGTCAAGATAGTTAGGGAATCTGGCTTTATTTCACCCCTCTACCACCATCCTGGGGACCAGGTAATGTTTCATCTTACATAAAGTGCACATATTCTACACTAACAGTTCATCACATGCATTTTCTTGGTAATCATTATGGACAAGTGTTGTTATTTACTGTTTGACTGCAAACATTAAAAGCAAAAGGCCTACATATCTTATGCATTACTTGTTTTAGATCTTGGCTGATCGGGGTTTTACTCGAAAGATGAGTTTGCCTTACTTGGTGCCAGTCTCGAAACCCCAGCCTTCACTCTAGGCAGGAAACAACTCCCAGGCAAAGACGTTGAAGAGTCAAGAATGAAATCAAAATTTCTGATTCATATTGGTAAGTATACATTCATTATCCACAGACTGGTAAACTATTGCACATATCAATATGATGGAAAATAAATTAACTCTTTTACTAAATTAAGTTATATAAAAAACAGCACTAACGGACTGTAGCAAATTGAATAACAGTGCAAACAAAGTACTTAACAAACAATTACTGAGAACAATGGTAAAATGTGAAGTTTTATACTTGAAAATATTTTAAAACAACTGATGGGTGAACAGAACGGGTGATCGGTGTGCTGAAGCGAAGATTCCACATCCTGGATGGGCCGCTCCCTGTTTGCTTCGTAAAGACCCTGCGGGACGAGATGGAGAACAGGGATGTAGCCACCATTGACAAGATAGTACATACCTGTGCCGCCTTGGTCAACATGTCAGGTAGCATTGTGTTCAATAAAAACAGACAGGGGGATGTATAGGTCAAATCAGTCCTGCTGTCTTTTCTCTTTGAGTCACTTAGTTTTGGCCATGGCAGCAAAAGAACAACTCTTCAATGACTATCCTTCAGCTTTTTAAATCTACCTTACTGCTCTGCTCTCCTTCCAGGAATGACAGTTGACACCACGTAATTATTCTGTAAATGTAAATAAACTATGTATTAGGAATTGTCTTAGCTAGTATTAACCTAACAGCCACCTAACAACAAATGCTCGCAAATGTTAATGAACTATAATTATAAATAATTGTTTAGGTTTTGTGTTTTACCTGAAGCTCCTGTTCTGTGTCTGACTGTGTCTGTTGACTCCTGAAATTGTTATACATAATTTGTGATTATTTGTATTGTTTCATAATATTTGTGTGCCATGTATTACATAGTATAAAGATATAACAGACAGTGTATTTGCAGTCTCTAAGGAAAATGTTTTATACCTGAAGCTCCAGCTCTGTATCTGGGATTGTGGTTCCCGCCAGCTGTGGGTAGATGTGCCTGGCCCAAAAACGGCTAATGGTGTCCACTGCCTGACACTGAAAATCTTCATCTTGTTGGACACGGAAGATAACGGTTTGCTTTGGCGTCCAGGTGATGAAGTCTGCATAGGTTGTTTTGCACACAAACATCTGCATCTACACCTGTAAAAAAAAAGAGAAAGAAAAAGTACAGCATAGACTCCGACTACTTACCTGCAATTAACAAAACACAGATAATACAATTCCTTATGAGTTGTTATTTATTGTATTACCTGGGTGTAGTAGCTGTGGTTGGTCCTCAGCGACAACAAAGTGTCCAGATGTCCTCTCTTGTCTGCTGGCAAATCACTATTCCACTTCAAGGGGCACTTTACCTCAACCACCCCCTTTCCACAGCAAACGCAGTGTACATAAGCATCACAGCTTACACCAATGTAGGGCTTCTCTCTGCTAACTCGGAAGCCTGCCCGTTGAATACTGATGCTTGTGTGGGGTTTATATATGTCACTGGAGATGTTAATTAAAGTGGGTGCTGTATATGCAGTTGTAAGGCCCAGTGCATACTTGTATGTCTCAATTGCATCTTTTTCGTGTTCCCTACCCCAAATGATGCCTGGTGTTTTCAGCGGATTTTTGCGTGATTCTTTCTGCACAATATCCCTCAGCAGTGATTTTGATGGTTTCTCAAGAGATGTGTGGATAACTCTGTGTGCTGATGTACCTGTCACCCTCCCAACCCTCTGCTGGTGCCAAGATGAACATTCTGCCTGGTCTTTTGTCTCTTCCTCTATTGCCTGTACCTGATCATCTGAACAATCTGACAGATGTTGGTACCAAGGCTTTGGTTTGAAAGGGTCTGCAAAAGCCTTGAAAGTGCTCAGACCAACAGGCAGTTCTCCTGAGGCAGACAGCATTTCCAAGAACTGTTGTTTATTTTCTTCATTCGCCATTGGAATGACCCTGCAGTTTGTTCCTGTGTCCCTTTTTTTGGCTTTGTCTCCATAGAAGTCTATATTGATGACCATGTCTGCCTCAACTTTTTTCGTGCAGACTTTATTCCAGGCACAGGCGATGCTGGTTGGTGCCACACTTGTATATCCAAGGCGAACTGATGCCTCCAACTTAAAAAGCAGGGCTCCGACATGGGAACAGCTTTCTCCTAGTCTAGAGTAAAAAATATATTTTTTAAATAAATACTTTTTCACCAAATAACAAAAGCATTTCTTCCCTTCTGAAGGATAACATAGGTGGCATTGTGACTGTACTATTAGTGTTATGCAGTCAGCTTACCCTGCCATGCAATCACAGTGAGCAGCTGTGACCTCTCCAGTCTTGTTAACAGCAACCCAGGTGTTGTGGAGTTTACAGTATCTGTAACTCTCCATGATGGCTTTACATGGGTCTTGAAGACTGTTGTGTCAGCACAGGGTTTGTGGTGAAGAACCACATCCACCCAGCCACTGGTAAAAAAGGTATGTGCTTCCAGAGACCTGAAGTTCTTCATTGAACTTGCTGTGTAAATCCCTAGAGGACAAGTTAGCAGACACAAATCTCTAAACCTGCTCTGTCACATCTAAAAACATTTAAAAAAACATTAGTAGTACAACCATGGGCAATCCAGAAAGTTAATTAATAAAGACTGAATTTTGCTATTGTGATGAACTGTGTATGTTAAAAATATTGTCGTAGGCTACTGTGTTGTGGTATATTTACTGAGATTATAAAGATAGGCTATAACATAAAATCGTCAATTATCAACCCTACCTATAACTAGATGCTATCATTAATTAGCTTGGTAAACCCCCTATTTAACACGTTATTGTATAACACATATTTATAGTTTAAACAGTAACGCAAATTGGACAGACTATTAAAACGGATAAATAATGTGTCTTGATGACGTCCTATACAAACTACCTGGAGATTCAATGAGGTAGTTATAGATGTCAGGATATGACACCTCAGGCCATTGAGTCGGATCATTTGTCCACTCGTCCACCGGCAGACAGAATGGACATTGATCGCCTACTGCTTTTAATTTAATCATATATCGAGCCCGATCGTCGTTTTCCAATGATTTAATGTAATAGTTTGCCTGTCTGGCCATTGTAATCGGGCTCTTTGAAGATCCAAAAATCTCAGGTTTTCTTAATTTTCTGATCGGATTGGCAAACACTTCAGAATTTGTATTAACCGCCGTTCAACTGACAGCTTTGTTTTCCCCCAAAGTGGGCGGAGCCGTAATTTTCGCCCGGAAGTGACGTAGGTGTTACTCTCATCTATCCCGTTGACAACTGGGTTGCGTTCCGATAATCCAAAAATCAGCTCCTAAATTCTAACCCTATCTCCTATTCCTTGACCTCTGAGTGAAATGTCACGGGGTTAAGGGATAGTGGATAGGAGAATTCAAAAGGACTTAGGATAAGAGACTGCGGTACTTTAGAGAATCCGAATGCACTTTCACTATCCGACGTGTTTATGATGCGCCAGCGGACGTCATTGTGTGCGTCTGCTGCTGTGGGGAAACTATGGAAACTACAGTTTTCTATACAGCGGACTACAACATGGATGTTTAATAAGAAGGAGGCACTACTGTAAACTCATCTAGAGACTCTGCACCGTGCTCTGATGCTGTTGTTTTATGCTTTATGAACGTGGACAACAGAGAAACATATTCTTCATGACCAAAGTTGGAATTGAAATAAAAAAGGAAAGTGAAACTTATGCTCGTCACCCTCTCCCTCCGGTCCACATTAATACAAATGATCCCAATACGTATGATTGTATGAACTATGAAAATATCTTAAAATCAATACAGATGTATTTATTATAAACGTTAGTCCTTAACATCTATCACTGTGTATATCACCATTCAAACATCTTTTAAAAGTTGAACAAACCCCACACAGCTCAGTAAACACTGTGAGATGTTGACTTTATTTGATCATTTCAGTAAAAACTAACGTTCATATTTCTCTTTTTGATTATAATACTGATGAAGGTTCAGAAAAAAGCACTTTGGCAACTTACCACATACGTTTTAAAAAGCTTAATAAGCACCGTAACTTTCATGATATCATTTCTCGGTCATAATCGGTTGTTTCCATGAACGGCCGACTGTTGTGATGGCAAATGCTGCGGCTGCATTGCATTGTGGGGCAGCATTTTCTCCTCTCCTTTCGGTTAGGGAGGTCCAGTGGTTCCTAAGCTAAAGGAGGTTATAAAGGAAGTTTGAAACCTCCTTTCCTTTCATTTGGAGAATTGGAACGGCACTTATCATGGCTGCCAGCAGGGCCGCCTTAATGCACGGGCTGACCTGGGCTGAAGCCCAGGGGCCTACGGAGATCAGGGGCCTATCATGAGCCAATAAATTAAAAAAAAAAAACATTTAAATAAAAAAAAAAAAAAGTTTTTTATTTCGGATGTTTTTAAAAAACATTTAAATAAACAAAGTCTTGACTTCAGAATATGAAACTTTTATTTCCAAAATCACACGATAACTACATTTTTGAAGCTTGTATAGGGAAGATGACAGCTCTCACTCGCCACTCACTCCCCCTCCCTCCGGCTGAAATTATGAATGTAAGGCGTATAGTAATCATAGATAACACGGCAGGGTCCATTACAGTTTGTTTTCATCTGGTTTCAAATAAACAAAGTCTTGGCTTTCAGAATATTAAACTTGTTTCGGCAAATTCAGATGATAAATACAACGTTGAAGCTTGTAACGGCATAATTACAAGCGGAGAACAGAGTAACTTGACGTCACAGCAGGCATAACAACAGCCGGTGTTTCTCGTGAGTGTTTTCCCCGGGAAACAAACACAATACACACAAACGCAAAAATACACAAACACACACGTATACACACACACACACGTGAGCTTCCCCCAGACCAGTAATCCAAACGAAAATATCTTCCCTCCTTAGTATTTTGATCATTTGCTCCGCTAATCAATCAGATCGATGGATTCCAGAGATTTTTCTCAAAAATGATGACTCCGTAACAGTCAGTGGGCACCACTTCACAGCGAATCAGAATGAGAATATGTTTCACATGTGACTTATTCAAATTGCGAGTGATTGAGTGACAGATGAAGGTTGTTTAGGAGAAAAAGTTTGAGAAGAAAACGTTTGAGAGTGGCGCTCGGGAAAGGAAATTGTTGAGGGAAAAGGAGTTTCGCGACAAGCAGCTATTACAAAAAATGCCGAAGCTTACAGGTTGTTTTAAACCTGTAGGCCAGGATGAGGAGGAAGGAGGACAGATGAGTTCTGTACCGAGCAGTAGCGGTGCCGGCCGTGGGGCCTCGGAGCCAAGTAGGCCGTCTGGTTCTGATAGCGATGGAGTAGCGGGAGAGGAAAAACAGACAGGAGGGATGTTGGAGGAGATGGAGAGGACGACGAGGACTTGCTACGTGGAGGGGAGCCAACGGCAACCAGACAAATACACGAGGGAGGTCCGATACGTCACTCATCTGGAGGAGAGGACCAGGCGCGCGTAGAGCAGAGTGGAGAAGTGCGATCACAGAGCCTGCATAAATGACTTTGATTTGTTGTTTACATAGGGGGCCTACAAAACCTATCAGCCCCAGGGCCTGATGGCAGGTTAAGGCGGGCCTGGCTGCCAGTGACGTACTTCCGGGTCATTTCACTCCGTTAGGAAGGTTCCTAAGCTAAATGGACTATTGGAATGCAACCCTGACTTCCAAGGGGTAATAGAGTGACGGGGAGGGGCCCTGACCATCCGTCAATATGTGACGGGTTGGGAGTGAGAACGTGTTGTTTGGTGAGGAACACAGGACTCAATCACTTTTCTCTCATTTATCAGAAAACCAGAAATCCCTAAAACATATACCATTACTGAATTGTTTAGGGTGCTATTGAACACTAACCAGTAGTTGTATGGAAATATCTGGTACAGTTCTATTGCAAATGAGATTTATTTAGACATACAGTAGGCCTACCTCTTCTCTGAGACAGTCACATTCCGAATGGGGGATAAGTGGCATAATAACCTATAAATTAAGAATGCTCCCTCTGATGGTCATCATATTTGGAGAGGGAAATACCAGGTGGCTGAACTACATCACCAACTAGTCAGAATAAGAGTAACCCAATAAAAGGAAGTGTATTAGTTCTAAATTGCAAGCCTCTAAAAAGGTACATAGTACAGGTTTTATTCAAACAGAAACAGAATCAAATAATTCTGTGAGAGGTCAAGTATATAGATACTAGAATATAATGTTAATTGTCAGGTTCCTCAGAAACGTTAGGGGACACATTTTGACATTCTGCACAGCAGGTGCAGAACTCCGTGCAGGGAAGGCCAACAGAGAGGCACTGGCACTTTCCACTCCCTCTTTGCATCTTTGCAATACAAGTGAGTAATGTCTCTCACTTCTGTAGGTGCTGGGGGTTTTATAAATAGCACTGGTTGAATGGCCCCATCTCTGACAGTCCACCCCTTGCCAACAGGACTCCATAACAAGTGTTTGGGTTCGGGCTGTGACACCATCGCTGTCTGAAACATTGCTCTTTACATGTTGTTGAAATGCATCCTCTGTTGGCGGCAGATTTGCAGAGGCTGCATCTGTTGTTGATGCAATTACGAACCTCAGTTCATCCAAGTTTGTGCACATCAGTCCATTTTCCTTTTTTCCATATAGCAGAAGCGCAAATTCTCTTGCGACTGGCAAAGACTCTTCCAAGCTGGCAGAGAGTCCAAAATGGGCCAGATCTTTGAGCTCGCTGAGATGGGTCTTGAGTTTGTTGAATGCTGTTGTCTTTCCTATTCTGTACAAACTACTTGTTGTGTCACAGCCAGTGAGTGCATGACATGCTGGTAGACAGTTAGGCATGTATTTTCCAATTTTTACAAACATGGAGAAGCATACTGACAGCGCAGCGTCATACTTCCTGAATGAAAAGTGAACTATAATATTACACAAATATAAAGAAGTTAAACTTTAAACATCCATGACTTAAACACTTTATCTAGGATAAAAGCCACATAGCTGCACCTGCAAGGTGAATAGCCTACAGCTGGTAAAAGAAAAAGTGTTTGAATGCGTACATTAACAGGTTTATGATATCACTGCCTCGTCTAAGACCAACCCAGTCTCATGGCATTTCGTGTTCACCAACACGATTTTTAATCTATTGATTCGTGTTCACCAACACGATTAACCCCTTTTTTTCGTGTTGCACAGCACGATTTTAAAAGGAATGTATTTCTACTGGTAATGTGTTTCGTGCCTGCAGCACGTCTTTTTCTCCGGTCGGGTCTTGGAAGACCGGAAGCTGTGTGGTTCATAAAAACATGTTCTTACTCAATATCAAGCCACAATTATTGCTTTTATTTTAAATCGTATAATTTCGGACTTTTGTTGCCGTCTGTGAGGAAAATAAATGGGGCTCAGAGCCTCAGGATACTGAAATCTGTATTTTTTCAATCTTTTTTTCCTTCTAATTTGTTATTCTTTTCAAAATAACACACTATTATTTACTCACCAATAACATACAATTATCCTTGCTTTTATTTATTGGTTTAATTCCATAATCTCGGGCTTTTTTGGCGTCCATCAGGAACTGAATTTCAAAATAAAAATAACCGGAAACAGATGTAGGCCTATAAGGGACATTTCGAGCATCATTGCGATTGTCAACATTTCTGAGTTTAGGATGGCCGAAAACACTACACTACCCATAATCCCCAGCTATCGTTTAGGACTACAGTCCCCGTGATTAATCTTCAAGCTCTGGGATTGGATGTTGGAGTGGCAGTGCGCCAAGGTTACACCGAGCGTCAAACAGCTATTTGAAATGGAACGAAACCACGCCAGACTATCCAAAACTGGAATCGAATGCCCCCTCAGAACTACACATGTTGGCTATTGTCTTTCGCAAAATGTTCTATGGGACGTCTACTGAACGTTTTTGTTTTTCTCACAATTAGAAGTTGCCAGTATTAAACACATTGGTGTTATCAAATGTAAAACATA